ATTGAAGTGGAAGCTAATAGTAAATTCTTAAAACATCTCCTCCTTATTGCTTGTATTGCTTGCTTTTAGGGATTTTCTTTTTACTTAATGTTCTTAATGATGCCTGTAGATTTCCAAAAATAAACAAGATTAGCACTATTTATTCTAAAACTGACATCCGTTTGTGCAAATTGTTTTTAATGTGCCTTTGTGTACCTCCTACACTCAAAATCTGTCACTAATCTTGATTTTTTTTTTTTCAAACTAGTTAATAGTTTTGCTTTCACTTTGTCTCCACATTTTGCATCTTTCTTGAAACAACCACTCTTGTATTTTGCAGGTGTGTGTGTCTGTCTGTATTTACACTATATGCACTTGTATAATAGTTTAAAGTTTTTTGTTTTAAACTAATTTCTCTAGACCATTATTTGCACTAAGGTTCTGTAATATAATCAAGTCCATGGTTACTGCCTGACTACTCAACCTAAAATCTAAAATTGTTTAAAGCTTGCAGGCCGCTATCTGCTTTAGAAACAAATAATCTCGTGGTTCAGTGTTCTTGCATACTTTTCATACTTCTCTGTATGTTAATGTATGTCTCCGCAATCCCAAGACACCAGTGTTTCTCTCTCTCTCTCTCTTTTTTTTTTTTTTTTTTTTTTTTTACCCCCTTCCTTCAGCAGTGATTTCTCCTGGTCATGGCAGTCCACTGTGGCAGTCCTTGGATCAGTGACATTCTCCTGACATTTCTTGTCAACCACCATACACTTTCAGTAATCCCATTTTGAATGGAAAATCCTATAAAATGTTGCTGCAGGCTTCTTAACACAGCAAACCACTGACTGTCTACAGCTGCTCAAGAGCTAATAGTCTAGAGTAGTACATTTGAGTAGATAATTGTTCTCTAGTTCCATTTATTTTCTTTGAAGATTTTTGTTGCAAGGTGACTCTTCATTCTCTTTGTTTTGCTGCTTGTCTGTATCTAATTGAGGAGATTTCAAAGGCATAGATCACTTTAATTTTGAGCTCACTGCCTGTAGCCTTTTGCACCTTTGAAAACATTTTCCTTCTAGAATATCCTGTTTGTTTAGCAGTAGTCCTTAACTTTGCGTAGCTTGTGTCCAAGGGTAAATAAGTTATGTAAAGGTGGTCATAACCAAATTCATACTTTGTTCTAGATTATTATAAAATTTTAAAATAGGGTGGAGTGTATTGTTTGTTTTTAAAACAGATTGACTCTTACATAGAGTTGGCATGGGAGGGGGAGATGAAAAACATATCTATGTTTCTAACCTTGAGCATTTGGGGGACTGTATTGTAAAGAAAATTTGGGTTGAGCCCTCAAGGGTGCTTGAAGGGAGGGAGGTTGACTTAATTTTACACTACGATGTATTAACACTCAAAGCAATAGAGATCATGCTTAGATGTTTAAAAGAAAATGGAAAAAAAATACATGCAAGATCATCTAAGGGGCATCCAACTTTGGGGATTTCCCAGGAAGTGGTCTAGCAGCCCTAACGAGTCTCCTCTGACAGTCTCGGCTATTCTGCATTCCTAGAAGGCAGCAGCAATGCCCAGAAAAATCTGTACTGTGTAGCCAGAGACCTCTAACAGCCATAAAGTGGACAAGATATAATTCATGTTTTATTGTCTTAAACTCAGTCATAAGTACACTAAAATAGTGTAACTAGCCACAGTATAGTGCTTTGTAACACTGCTAATAGCATAACCCTCCAAACAGCATAAAAACATTTTATATCACAGCTAAGCATAACTATAGAAATAATATGTAGCTGCAAAGGGAGACCTATGTTTAATCGCACAAATAGGGGACAGAAAAACATGAATCAACAATTCAAAGTAGTAAAATCTGCAAGCAAAAACAAAGGATACAGAATAAGGAGGAGAGATTTCTGGTGGAACCAGAATAGTTTCTGGTCCTAAAGAAAAGAAGATAAATAATGTCAGGAGCAGATGAGAATGCTTCCCACAGCCTTTCTTGGTGGAGGAGATTATGAGCATTAAAAACACCCAGCGGCAGCAAGGAGAAATAGTGAAGACAGAAGTCTGAAGAAAGAACCACCACGGTTCCTCCTTCAGAGTCCAAATAGCACTCTTACCCATTCACCTCAACTTCAGCCATCAAGGACCATAGCCATCAGTATTTAACTACATGGCATCAGCTCAGTGGTATTGTGTGCTCAAAGCTAATTTAGGATGAGATGATTAGGGCCTAACTGTTTGAATATGTAGTGATAATGGCTGCTGATGATTAAGAATTTAACTATTGGCAATGTGTATTGTTAATGAATGTCAATCTAGTTAAGTATTGTTATGAATTGTGCAACTGGTCTCGTTTATCAAGTTTCCAAATCTTCCCATCACTGCTACCTTTTGCTTAGCTGTGTTAAGCAGTAACTGCTCATCAGGACAGGGACAAGTGAAGCATCTCCATGGATTTTTCTGTTCAAAGCCTAGAACTGTTTTTACATAGATAAGAAATTACAGCAATTGCAGGCTAGGGATGTGATTACCTGTTTTGAGGCAAAGAAATTGTGCACAACTTCATCAGAACTCGATGCCAATGGATGCATGCATTTTGTGCGAATCTAGCTAGGAATCTGTAATGTGCTTACTGTAATTTGGCACTTACATGCATAATTTATGTTCTGTAAGCTCTGCATGGAGTCACTTGCTTCTGTTCTGTGATCCTGTCACAACACCTTATTATATATTCTTGCTTTTCCTGTTTGCAGTACAAGCTCCAAATTCACAGATTGGATCGAAATAAAGATGAAAAAAAGCCCTCTTAGGTTGATTTCTATTAAAAATGTTGACTATCTTACGCTCTCTCTTGTCCCAGATGCACATGCTTCCATATCAGCAATATGTGTGTGATCGCTAACTTGTGTTTCATTCAATTTTATACTGTGTGATGTAAATTTAGTCTCTGCTGCCAGAGACTTAGATGTGATTTCACAAACTTGTGGAAAGTACTGTGTAGTGTGTTAAGTTTTTTCTTTTCATTCAAGTCTCTCCCTTCGTCAGAACTGATGTTCTTCATGCTCAACCCTCATATATTTTGGTGTCTGAAAACATTTTTTTTTTCCTGAGAAGGAGAGAGAAAGGCAGAGCACAAATACTAAAACTTTCACAGAAAGAAAACCAGAGTTACTGCCTTCCTCTTTGTAAGTTCTGACTGCTCCATCTCCCTTTCCTTAAAATAGGTGCAATAAGCTGATTGCTCCTCCTTTTCCCTGCCCCTTCCCCTGCACTGGAAAAGAAAGTAAGTTGTCACTACAGTAGGCTTCCCAGAAGTCTGAAATGCACAGAAAATAAGTGTTTCTGATCTCTCTTGTAAACAGACCTCAGAGAAACATTAATTAAAATAGGTTACACATATGACATTGGTCTTGATACAGCGGGGAAATGTCTGTGTGAGTACAACCTAGACTTTTTTATGTGTCTTGTAACTATGGCTAATTTCACCTTTTGTCTGTTGAAACCCTTCTTCTGTTTGAGTAACACATGAAAATTATGTGAGAAGTTTTTAAAATAACCAGTTCAAATTTGTGTTTTGTCTTCAGCTGGGGAGAAAGACTTCCATAAAATCCAGTTTGTACAAATTGGAGTGCATAGTGTAGCATCAGCTGTGTGATCAAAAAATATTTATCTTGAATGAAGGTACCAATAACTACATTAATGACACAAGAGAATAAGTGAGAAAGGGTTTGGCAAAATTTAGGATTCTGATAGAACTGTAGTAGAAAGAAGAGAAAAAAAAAAAAAAGAAGTGGCTGACAAACGCAAACAGCTTCTTCAGGTTTGTGTGGGGCCGGTGGGGGGTTCTGGTTTTTGAGCGTGGTGTTGCCCTGTGATTTATATGCAGCTATACTTCAAAAACCTACTGTTTGTACTGGAATTGTTGGTGGGGGAAATCTTTACCCATGAGGGAAATGAACTATCTTGGTGTAAACTGGCTTTCTAGTATAACCCTTGGGCTGTGATGCACCAGGCACCAGCATATGCAGCTGTATGTATCTTTGCTTCTGAGTGATGTTATGCTTTTGGGAGACCTGAGTGGATATACGGCATTTGCATAGCCCAGTTATCCTAAATTAAGCATTTCAGTTTTTCATTGTGAAACTCTAAAAGTAGCTTGTTTCCGTAGTATGGTGTTGTCTAGGAGTGTTATGGCATGAATATAACCATGTGAGACTATGGTCAGAGGAACAGAGAGAGATTAGTGTGACTAAACGCTGGACACCCTTACAGAGGTTTCTTGTAAAATATTGTATTTCTGAACACTGCTGTCGGTAATGATGGGCTCACATGTACAAAAGTATAACTTAACATTTGGTTTTAAGTGCGTATTTCTGTGGTAACATGATTAAATACCTGCTTGACTTCATATGTATCTGTAGATATAGACACCTATATGGTATATTTTTGTATATGTATGTGTGTATGTGTGATGGAAACATCCTTGGAAACATTCAAGGCCAGGCTGGATGGGGCTCTGAGCAACCTGATCTAGTTGAAGATGTCCCTGCCGATTGCAGGGGGGATGGACTAGATGACCTTTAAAGGTCCCTTCCATCCCAAAGCGTTCTATGATTCTATGATTATGCAGTGGTGGAATTAGGATGAGGCACAGGTATGTCCAAGCAAATACAAAAGTGATGCTTGGACTCTAGATTTTGTCAAAGGTGAACCAGAGCTGCATGTGTAGACGTGTATTTGTCTACAATAAAGGTATTGAGTAAATGTTTTTTCTTTTTTTTCAATAGTACACTGAATTGTTTTTATCTCAAAGGAAAAAAAAAACAAAACACAGAACACTTAGTGCATGTTTTCAGTTCACCTTTACTGTAGTTATTTACAGTGTGTTAGTTAACTTTGTCTTCTGATTTTGTTTATTTCTAGATGGTGCAAAAGAACCGCAGTTGCCCAGTCAAGATGAACAGAATGACTTCCTTCAACAAGAAAATAGAACATCCATTTTTTAGGATTATGTCTACAACATGAAGCATTTAAGAGTTGCTGTCTTTGAGAACATTCATCTATAACCTGAAATGTCCTGATCCTGGGGAAAAAGAAAAGAGATTCCATTAATTAAGTCTATAATTTTTAAATGCATTTTTATGACTAATGATATTTGCTTATGCACAACATGGATACAGAATTCATAAACCAGAAGTTATTTTAACACACATGCACATTTGTGTTTGTGCATTCAGTATACAAGATACATCATTTTAATCAAATTTTAAATAATCTTTTAAGTTATCTATATTTATTAATAAATGAAGACTTGGCAAGAATTTGTCATCCATGGACAAGAGTAAAGCTGCTTCCCCCAGAATGGATGGTAATTTTGTAGTGGGTAAAATCAATAACTTAAAAGTAGAGCAAGAGGAAGACAGCATTAACTGTACTCTAGAAAGAATGGATATCAAGACAGAACAAGATGATTTCAAACATGTGGACAGTAGTGATGAACAAGAAGACAAAGAAAAGAACTTCATTACCAACAACCCTGGCAAATATATATCTTCAGAAAATGAAGATGATTATGGATCTCTTTTTTCTCAGTATAGTAGTACGCTGTATGATGTAGCAATGGAAGCTGTGACACAAAGCCTCCTTTCTAGCAGAAACATAAGCTCCAGAAAAAAGTCACCTGCTTGGAACCATTTTTTTATATCTCCTAGAGATAGCACTAAAGCAATATGTATGTACTGTATGAAAGAATTTAGCAGGGGTAAAAATGAAAAGGACCTGAGTACAAGTTGTCTCATGAGACATGTGAGGAGAGCCCATCCCACTGTACTAATTCAAGAGAATGGAAGTATGCCGGGTATAGCCTCCTTTTCTTCACCTACATTGTTACTGCCACCTCAGTCCACAGAAGTTGGAGATCTGAGTTCTATGTTATCCCCTATAAAACTGGTCAAGAAAATGGCTTCTAAAATACCGTCTCCAGATCGAATAATCGAGGAATCTGTTTCTATTGTTTCTTCTGAAGAAATATCAGATCTCTCAGTTTCTGAAAAGTGCAACAAAGAAGAAGTCATGGTTGGGTCATCTCCACAGCTACCCAACAACCAGTATGATGACACTGTGGAGAATGTAGCAGAAAAAACTGTTGTAATTCCAAAGAGCACATCAGGTTCCAGAAGGAGATCTGCTGTCTGGAAACACTTTTATTTGTCGCCTCTAGATAATTCTAAAGCTGTTTGCATCCACTGCATGAATGAATTCAGTAGAGGAAAAAATGGAAAAGACCTGGGAACGAGTTGTTTAATAAGACACATGTGGAGAGCCCATCGTTCCATTGTCCTGCAAGAGAATGGGGGTGGTACCAGCATACCACCTCTCTACACCGCACCTCCAACTCTGTTGCCTTCTTTACTACCCTCAGATAGTGATCTGAATTCTATGTCATCCTCTCCTGGAAAACTAATGAAAGAATCAACTTCTGTTTCTTCTTCTCCAGACAGAATCTCTGAGGAGATCCATACTAATCTCTCTTCTGGAGATGCTCTAGTGGAAGACTCAATGCTGTCATCTTCTGATGATATAGGTGAAGTCTCCTTTGTTTCCTCTCCTGAGAAACAGTGCGAGGGATTAGGTCCACTAATATTTGAACCTGCTGCTGTATTTCAGCAAAATAAAAGGATTATGAAAAGGCTTAAATCAGAAGTTTGGCATCACTTTTCACTGTCACCTGCAGACAGTCTAAAAGCAGTATGTAGATACTGCAGTTGTATGATAAGTCGTGGTAAAAAAGGAGATGTGGGCACAAGCTGCTTGATGAGACATCTATATAGACGCCATCCCGATGTAATTGGAAACCAAAAGAGCTTTCTTGATGTGAGTTTGGCAAATTCTCCTTACGCCACTTTGGCTTCTGCAGAATGTTCATCCTCAAAGTTGACTGACTTGCCTACAATGGTTACACATGATAATCAAATTATATTTCCTGTTAATAGTAAGAAGACCTCAAAACTGTGGAATCACTTTTCAATTTGTTCTGCAGATTCAACAAAAGTAATATGTATGCACTGTGGACGTACAATAAGTAGGGGGAAAAAGCCAACAAATCTAGGCACAAGTTGCCTTCTAAGACATTTGCAGCGGTTTCATAACAATGTATTGAAAACTGATGTCTCAGAGACAGTATTATCCTCATCTACGGATAATCACATGCCACTGAGCACAGAATTACTAGGATCTTCAAATTTTGATGAAACCAATGACAAGTTTTGTGACTCTCACCCAGTTGCCAAAAAAATCACAAGTCTTGTAGCCGAAATGATTGCACTTGACCTTCAGCCATATTCTTTTGTAGACAACATTGGCTTTAACAGGCTGCTTGAATACTTGCAACCTCAGTATTCTTTACCTTCTCCATCTTACTTTTCTAGGACAGCAATTCCAGATATGTATGATAATGTAAAACAAATAATTATTTCACATCTTAAAGAAGCTGAAAGTGGGGTGATCCATTTTACGTCTGGAATATGGATGAGCAACCAAACACGAGAATATCTAACGCTGACAGCTCATTGGGTAACATTTGAGTCTTCATTTCGACCACAGTGTGAGGATTACCATTGTTCAGCACTATTAAATGTATCACAGATCGATTGCGACTACAATGGAATCAGTATTCAAAAGCAGTTAGAGTACTGGTGGGAAACATGGATTACTTCCATTGGCCTTCAGATTGGGATTACTGTTACTGATAATCAGAGTATAGAAAAAACTTTAAATGAAGGTGATCATTCAAGTGTACAATGTTTTAGTCACACTGTTAATGTCATTGTAAATGAGGCTATTAAAAGCCAGAGAATGGTTCAGAATTTGCTTAGTATTGCAAGAAAGATCTGTGAACGCGTCCATCGGTCAGCAAAAGCAAGAGAAAAGTTAGCTGAGTTGCAAAAAGAGTATGAGTTGCCTCAGCATCAGCTAATACAAGATGTTCCATCAAAGTGGAATACATCATTTCATATGCTTGAACGTCTTATTGAACAGAAAAGAGCAATTGATGAAATGTCAATAGAGTGCAGCTTTCGGGAGCTAATAAGTTGTGATCAGTGGGAAGTCATGCAGTCGGTGTGTCATGCTCTCAAGCCTTTCGAAGCTGCAAGTAGGGAGATGAGTACACACGTGTCTACTCTAAGCCAAGTGATTCCGATGATTCATATACTTAACAGGAAAATAGAAATGCTATTTGAGGAAACAATGGGCATAGATACTATGCTGAAATCTTTGAAAGAAGCTATGGTGAGTAGATTGTCCTCCACGCTTCATGATCCAAGGTACATTTTTGCTACGCTTCTGGATCCCCGGTATAAAACATCGTTATTTACAGAAGAGGAGGCTGAACAATATAAACAAGACTTAATCAGGGAGCTGGAAATAATGAGTTCTACCTCAGATGATGATAAACCTGTTTCCAATGGATGTGATATAGGTTCACCATCTACAAATTCATATGGAGAAGATAATCTTTGGTCACTCATGGGTGACATGAAGAAAACAAAAGACCTGAAAGAGAGAGCAAAGTTACCAGAGGAAATGGTGCTTTCTTACTTGGAGGAAGAAGTGCTTGAGCATAACTGTGATCCTTTAACTTACTGGAACTTTAAGAAGTCATCTTGGCCAGTACTGTCAAAATTGGCTGTCAGGTTCTTGGGTTGTCCACCAAGCATTGTTCCTTCAGAGAGATTGTTCAGTACATCCAATGAAAGCAACAACTTTAGTCAGTCAAGGTTAATGATTGAACACTTTGAAAAGCTTATCTTTTTGAAAGTGAATCTTCCTTTAATATACTTCCAGTATTGAAACTAATGAACAAACTGCTAGACTAAATCTATTGTTGCTCACTGGATATTAACTATCTATAACTTGGATTGTTAAACTGCTCCAATAGGGGCCATGTATGACATCTAATCAGTGACTGTAATTCCAAATTTTAGTTTCATTTTTTTCAGCTTTCAATATGTCTACATGTGCCTTATTCATAGTACTTCAGGCCAGATATTGTATATATGTTTTTTAAAAGTTCACACTAGAGATAGCCTGTCTTGTCAAATATACAAAATTACGTAGGTTTTAATCCATAATTGTAAATGAACTTTAAAAAAGCTCAGTCATTTGTTTTAATAGAATGGCAAAAAAAAGATGTAAACAGTTCTATTCTGTAGTTTTTTATTCAATTATTATGTAAAAACCATAAAGGTACTGTATTTTAGTTGAACATTGCTTTAATTGCAACAAAACAGCTTTTGTAGTTGTCAAAAGAAAGCTGTACATGAAAGATGGGGTTCAAGCCATCTTTTTATCATGTGGTGTTTTTAACTGCAAGCCCTAAAGTACTTAAAGGATTAAGAAGAGTTATTGAGGAAGATGTGTTTACAGGAGATTATTGACTTAGTATCTGAAAATAAATCTTAAATTTGAGATGATATGGAATGTCAGTTATGCAGCAATCGGTAATAAAACTTCCCATTCTGGGTTCTCCTGTTCAGGTTTTACATTTTAACTGAACTACAGAAATATTCTGGGTATTTATAAAAGCTCTTTGGAAGTCTTATCAAAGTTTGTGAAGTAATGCTTGTTATTTAATGCCGTGTACAAAAAAAGGCAAGAAATTTACCATGAAGACTCTAATGTCATTCTAAAGCCTTTTCTAATCTTTAGTGCATCGAAACTATAAGGTTCCCTATTGTAAAAATTGAGCCCTTACTCCTAATGTAATTTCAATTGTGTAGAACAGCCTGTCTTAAAGCTCCTAGTACAGAAATAACTGATCTTCTGATTTTCAGTAATAGCCTTATGGATATGGTGCACTGCTTAGAATTTTGTGTAGTAGGGTTGATTCTTAACTGTTGGTGTCCATCAGGCAAATGGGATATAGAGCCCTCAAAACTTCAAATAAGATTGGAAAAAAATAGCCAGCATTTTAATTTGAAAGGAATGTTCTCCATGTTTTTTTTAACTCTGGAAAGATTAATCTTCTCATTTCAGTTTTCATTGAATACTTTTTGGGAAACAAGTCATCATTTGCCTATGACCTTTTAGAAAAGTTGTAGCTTTGTTAAAATACTGTACCTATGCCTAATCTAATTTTGCATTTACTATGTTTTAGTGTATTTATAAATGGTGAACTCAGTTTCTGAAATTAAACATTTTATTTGCAATTTTCTAGTGGTAGTCAACACTGCCTTTTATTTTCAGATGGATTTAAGACAACCATTGAATAAAAATTAATTGATACAATTGTAATCATAAATATACCCCAGAACACGCTATGTGAAAGGATTGTTTTTTCATTTAGCTCTTCGGACTTAAGCCTGGATTCTGGTTCTTTTCATTTCACTCAAGCTATTCAACCTCAGGAAAATTTGTTTAATTCTTTCCCAGGTGGGTTTGGTTTCCATGTGACGTTTCTCTAAACATTTTATGGTTTCAGGTATTTCAATTGTTATTCCATCAGTTATGTTTACACCTGTACTATTTAAGTAAATTATTATATAGTGTACTTGAGAAAAACTAATACTGCATTTTGTCTCCAGTATTTTAAAAGGTAGCTTTTAATTCTATCAACAGTCAGCATTTCTTTGTTCTTCTAGGGTTAAAGGAGAACAGCACGTGTTTTTTCTGCAGTAATAAAACAATTTGTTCTAGTTTATGTATAGTTTGAACTAGGTGAGTTTGAAACAGCTTATTGGGAAACATGTTTAAATGGTTACTGGTTAATTATTATCTCCATTTTTTTCCCCTACATTTTAACTGTGAATATAACCTTGACCTTTGTAAAGGAGATGTTTAATCTCTCCTAACCAGTAGAGAAGGAGGCAGAGGATGAAGAAACTTTTTTTTTTTCTTTTTAAACAAGTATATATAGATATAAGATACAAGATATAATTTTCACTCAAGGCTTGAATGTAAATATGGCCTTTGGCTTAAAGCGCTGTAGAGCTGCATTATACCAGCAGGAGTGCTGGCAGTGAACAAGCTTACCTGAAAATCCCAGTTCTCTGGAAACAAGCAGCTTGGCTCCTCTGAAGGCAGTCTTGACTGTAGCTCCTCTGTAACTCTCATGTGGGAAGTTGAAGTATAGCATTTTGTAGCCCCAAATTTGCATCTTATTCATATAGATACTTAATTGTATAGCCATGCTTTTTGTTAAAACTTTTCCTGAGAGCATGAGAACTAGTCACTATTTTTAAAAGTAAAATTTTATCAGTTAGTCTACTTTATTGGCACCTGCAATTTCCTTTTTTTTTTTTTTGAAGGGCTTAGTTCTTAAAACCACACTGTTTCAGTATCAGTTTGGCTAAGAATTAATAATTACATTAGAAATTTTTTTAAAGATAATATGTAGGCCCAAAAGGCCTTAAAATTGAAACACCTAATTCTTAAAAACGTCAATAAAAATAGGAGAGGCTGAAAGCACAAAGCTGCTATTTTTCAGATGTAAGCCTTGATGCTTCCATAGGAGTTACGGGAGCATCTCCATCTTCAGTTCAGGCACTGCTGCCTTTGAGAAAAGAATGACTTCAAAAGAAGGGCTGAAAGCTTTCATTGAAGTATTGAGGTAAGTTATTGAGTGGGTGGGGTTTGTGTTGGGTTTACTTTATTATTTTTAATAAAAATTCTTAGTGATTGTTAAAACTTACATTTTTTCCCAACCCTTCTCATATTTGTAATGTATAGAAAACTCCCTTATTTTTACATTACCCTCTCTCAGACTGTAATAAAGCGCAAGTTCTTTTAACAGTAGGAGTTTTCACCAAGCTGAATTTGTGCTGGAACGATCCCTGCAGCAGCAGACAGTTCTCTAATGCACCTGCAACAGTGATATTTATTTTCTGTAAACAGTTAATTTCAGTACATTAGCAACTTCAGAAATAAATTTAGAAAGCAGACTTTTTTTTTCCCCCTCAGCATAAAAAGTAGATGGTACTAACAATGATACTTTGTGTCATTGTAAGGATCTTAACAGCTTTTGCTTCTTTTAAGAATAGGCACTAATTACACACTGCTGCAAGAAATATTTTTATAGTACTAAAGGTAGGAAGGGGAAGAAGTAGAGACCTGTAACAGCCTTTTCAAAGAACTCCAGTCTTGAAGGGTATGTAATGGAAGGTATGTATGGAGATCTGTGTTATGCTCTGGAAACCTGTAACAATGCTCCCCCCACGCTGCCCCTTTCCATTTGCTCCCTTTCTCTACCCACCCAGTAAAGGTGAAGTAAACCTGTTTGCAGAATATGGCCAGTGAGCATTTACTAGGAATACTTATAGCTTCTCTTTGCTCCCTGAGAGCAGCTTCTGAATTTACAAAGAACCAAAATCTCAATCTAGAACAGTTTAAATTCTAGCATAAGGATGTGATTGATTAAATGTAGATACAGATGACAAGCTCTAAGTAGACGTTTACAGTTGTTGAGAGATCTGTTCCTTAAAGTAGCATTTTTTTCTGCCACAGAGCCAATCATAAAAAACTTGCATTTAGGTATCTCCAAACACAGGAAAAATAAACATACAATTAGCAAACAACACTTTCTAATTACAGATTATTTAGATTTTATAAACTGTTTTAGCCTTTCCACAAATAAATTCATCCTTTGCTTTATTCTTAGCAACAAGAGTGATTCTTTACCATCTTGGTTTCCTTGCAAAATTGACCCAAAACTGCTTTGTATCATAAAATGAATATGCCAACCAGAAATAGTAACCACAGCCACATCCCCAGCTGAGGTATCAGCCTGGGTTCCAAGGGCTAGATCTATGCCTAAGCAGTCCC